AATTTTCAACATATCTGGTACCTGAAACTTTTGAATAATAATAATAATAATAATAATAATAATCATCATAATAATAATAATAATAATAATAAACATATCCTACTTATTAAAAATTAAAAATACAGAGAAAAAAAAATCGATTATACATAGATGACATTTTTTTCTAAGTCACCTACAAAAAAATGATTATGATGATTAGAGTTTTTGCTCTATATTGAGTTCAATTCTGCTGTAGAATCCTCACAATATGGGGTATGATTTTTTGTCTTTTTCATTTACGTGGGTCACACTCCTATGTGAGTATAGATCAACAAGCGTGTCAATTTCATACTGAGTTTACTTCTTTATTTATTGGTGTTTTTTTAAATTAGATTTCCATATGTCTATACATGAAAAATGTCTTCTCTTCCTCTTCGTGTTGTCACGAGCTCCAGAACAATACTAAATTTTCAATGGAGTTTTCGTTTGCATGTGAGAGGTGTTGTATCTTTACTTGATTATAATCGATTATTGCAAATTAATCGAGTTTCGTTAACCTTTCGATTTTTTCGTGATTTGAGGTTTCTAAATTTGAGGAGAATTATGAGATTAAAAAGTCTGCAACCTAATTTTACTATATATGAATGAATTGATTCAATTCGAGTTGAGTTGAGTGCCATTTAGCAATGTTTTAAAATTGGACTAGATTGGCCGGTACCATGAATCGATCCAACGACCGGTTCGGTTGGATCTGTATATCCAGTAATACAAAAATCGGTAAAATACTGTAAAATATTTTGTTTGATCGGAACCCGATGAATGGGACACAATTTTAGCAAGTTTTCCGATCAGCTAGCCAAAAAAAGAAGCATATATAAAATATCTACAAAGGGACTTCTCTAACTTGTCCAAGTTATGTGAAAGACCATCCATCAATTCATATGCATACGTATATGTAGAAGAAATCGCCTAAAAAATGAAAAGCCGCGGCCAATGGAAAAATGAGAAGAAGCAGCCGCTGAGTAACAGAAAAGAAGAAAAATAACAGTGCAGCATACTCTTGGCTTTCTAGGTTTAAAAAGTTAATGGGCCCTTTATCTTTTGACCCGTTTAGTTTTAGGTAATGAAATGATTTTTAAAAATATAATTAACAAATTTTAAAAATAAAATAAAATAAAATAAATCTTGAACTTATTAGTATTAATTTTTAAAAAGTATAATCTATATAATAATGTATTTCTATTTTTTTAAATAATACATATTTTGTATAAGATTTTATTTTATTTTCAGGCCGACCCCGATTCAACATTGATCGCCCATTTGACTCTTGACCCTCTCCATTGTTCGATTCGATTTTCAAAACATTGCTATTTAATATTGAGCTAAACGCAAAAGTTGCGTTGATCATAGCTCTTTCTCAATAACTACATATTTTGCTAAGCTTAAAAGGTTTACTTATATGTAAATAATTACTAGGTTTAAGCAACGTGCAATGCACGTTTGCTTAGTTTATATATAATTTTTTTGGTTAAGAATTAAATTTTTATTAATAAAGATGTAATTTTTTGGTTAATTAAATAACTAATGATGTAATGTTTAT